CCTGTCAACCCCCCTGTTCTAGGGGTGGATCCACAAAAGCCACATCCAAACCGTTTTCTAGGAAAAAGGGTGTGGTGTCCCTTTGAGTTCCTTTCTCAAACAGCAACCCCAAAATGGCCGGCCCCCCATGATCCGCATGCACTCGATCGAGGCGGAACTTTTGGCGCTGGACGGGCGCTCTAGGCTGGTCCCTGAACTTCATCTTGCTGTGCTGGGCGCTCTTCCTGCGCAACGCGGGGATCATCGACCAGGGCCAGGAGCGAGGGGTTTGGGGATTTGGGGGGAGGAGGTCGCGAAAAAACCAATGCCCTAAAAGAAGGAGGTTGTAATATATAGACCCTAAGTGTCCATCATACCGGGTGGGGGCGGGGGGGCGAGGGGTTGAGAGTTTGGGGAGGCTTTGGGGTGAGTTTTGGGCAACGAATCTCTGAACCGCGCAGCGAATCGCTGTCGTTGCCAGTCAAAAGGTATTTGGTGGGGGCAGGGTGTTTGGGGGTGCTTTGGGGCAGGGCAGGGGAGGAGTAGTCTGAAGTTTCCTTCGGCTTCTTAGGTAGTACGGGATTGTGTTCTTAAAAGGCAAACCTTTCTTGGTTTAAAGCGAAACCAACAGGAAATCACCATTCTGATTTTGACACATGACTAAAGCTTTCAACCAAAACATCCCTGCGAGCTTTTGCTTAGGACGCCGAGGAGGAAGAGAGTCTCAAGCTGGACGAGTCAACCTATGCAGACCTGCTGGCCAGCCAGCTGCAGGAGGAGAAATACGCCACTCGGCCCGAGTTGGGAGGGCAATTCTGCCAGGCCCCAATGGCCATGGATCAAAAGCCAACTCGGTTAGCCCCCAGTGAACATCCCAATCCAACCACTAAAATAGGTCCTACCCCAAGATGGTACCAGGTTTTTTTTTCCACCGCCAAATGACAGGTGGAAGGCCTCCAAGACCCAGACACCCAGTGGTGCCCCATGTTCTTTTTGGTTTTTGGAGGGGTCGGACTGGTGTTCACATTTGCCTAAGAGGGAGCGAATAAAGGAACTGATCGGAGTTCTAGTAGGGACACGGTAGGCAAGTCAACCCAAATACCCACAGAAGTCGGTTTGCCCAACAGAATATTCCGGAGCTTTCACATTTCCAAGATTCGAGACATCAGGAAAAAAGACTTGTGCCCCTTTTTCCTCTCTTTTTTTGGAAGGAACATTTCCCTTGAACATCATCGACGAAAGGCGTTCCCCTTGTTCCCTCCTTCCACTCGAAGGAACATGTCTAGACACATCCGCAGGTCTCAGAGTCCAACTCGGCCATCAACACCATGACGGACGGACCTTTGGCTTGAAAACGGGGAGGGGGGGGAAACAACGGAAAACCACGGGGCCGGCTGGAAACCATTTTTTCTTGTGGCCGTTTGCCCTTCATCCAGATGTGACATTTTTATTTTATAAATGTGGATTTAGGTCCAGTTCATGGACGAAAGCAGATGCGACTTTGTGGAGCTGAATGCGACCAATGGGTGTTCAAAGATGTGGGATGCGAGGTTTTGTTCTGTTCTTCCTTGTCATACCTTGATTGGCTTGTCCGTCGCCCTGAAGCAGCCAGCCCGAAAATTAGACCTGAGTTGGTTTGATGTGCTCTGAACATGGTTGTTGCTGGGAAACATGTTGACAATTTTGCCCGTTGTTGTTGAGTGGTTGAAATCCAACCACTCAACTGCAAAAACAAATAAATGTTTGCTCCCCTTCCAACGTCAACCAAGTCTGAACTCCGGTGAGCGCTTTGAGCTGTGGCTGGCTGGGTCTCCCACATGCCCCGGCGGATGCCGAGTCGCAGCTTCCTGGTGGATTTTTTGATTGTGGGGGTGTCCCGTTTTGGGATTCAGACCACTGTTAGAGGGATCCGGTGTTTTTTTGGTCATAGGGGGCCGTTTTTGTGTTTTTTTTGAAGCTATGACTGGGTTGGTTGGTTGGTTGGTTAGTTTTTTGGTTGGTTGGTTGGTTGGTTGGTTGGTTGGTTGGTTTGGTTGGTTTGGTTTGGTTGGTTTGGGTTTGGTTTGGTTTGGTTTGGTTTGGTTTGGTTTGGTTTGGTTTGGTTTGGTTTGGTTTGTTGGTTGGTTGGCTTGCGGCATCCCCAGCGTCACCAGCCTCACTTGGCCCTGTGGCCTACTGGCTCTAATTGGGAGGCAGTTGGGAGTTGCTGGAGGCTGGTTTAAGTTAGGGGGGGAGGTTTAGGCTGGCTTAGATCTTCATGAGGGTGGATCTTGGGGTGGTTTGGGGTTGATTAGGTGAAGCGAAGTGCCGACATCCAGGCTGCTGTTGGGCTGGCTGTCGGGTTGTCTTTGGGTGGATTTGGGGTTGGCTTGGAGCTGATTTGTGTTGGGTGTGCCGCTGGTTAAGTGGTGCCTTTAGGGTTGCTTTAGGGACGTGGTTGCGCGAGTTGTGGACGAGTTTTCGGTGGTTGGGGCAATGCTCCCAAACCAATCCTAAACGAGACCAAACAACACTGGAGAGGACACCCGCCTGTTGGGACGAGTTCTCTGCTCGCCAGGACTGTTGTGTCTCTTGTCGTTGGTGGCCCCTTAAGACTCCTCCTTTTGGGAGGCCATGTGCGGGGGTGCGCGGAAGCCTCAGGCTGTGCGGCCTGCGCGGCGTGGGATCGATCGCTCGACCGAGGCACACCACCGTGGAGATCTTCAAACACCCCCGCAAACGCGTATGAAGAGGATCACTGGTTGTTGTTGGGACACATTTTACATCTTTGCTTATTTTGCGCTTTAGTGGTTGAGCTCCAACCACTTAACCGCTCTCCTTTTTTTTGCTCCCCTAACCCAACGTCCACCAAGGCACTGCCCCACGTGCAGTCAACAACCGCGCCCTTCCCGAGGCCTGCGCTCCAAGCTGGAGGCGCTGCGCGCGCGGGCGGAGCGCCTCTTGAGCCCCACGGAGCGCCTGCCCAGCTACGACGACGCGGCGTGGCTGAAGCGAGCCCGGGTTGAGAAGTTGCTGGTGCGATAGGCAGCTAGGTCCCCCAGCAATTGGTGCCCTTTTACCGTTTCTTTTTTGGTTGCGAGGGGTCCGCTACTAAAATAGACTGCAGAAAAAAAGGGTGCCCTTATTCTAATCTCTCTACTGGAGGACCTAGGCAGGGAATGAGGCAATGATCCTAACAAAAAAAACACGTCCCTTGTGGTTTTCTTGAAGGGAATTGCTGGGTTCATTCCCTCATTCCCTTCTGAGCACTAGCAAGAGAAGAGAGTTGGAGCCCTTCTAGACCCCGCCTGAGTGTTGAAGAGATCAGGAGTTTGCCTCTTTTTTGCTTCAAGAACAGGTACCCAAAATGGGTTGCCCTATGGAACCAAGGACGAAAACCTGTGGTCCCCTGGTGGTTTTGACTTTGACCCACAGCCATTTCGAAAAACGCTGGCCGGCCGTGGTGGGTGCAACACGGGGGCTAGCGGGGGGTGGGGAGGGGGGGAGGCCAGTAAGGTCATGATCTCGCGGCTGATCGGAGACTTGCAGACGGGGGTGGAGGACGCGGAGATGCACCGGTGATCTCACTTGGGCCAAACCACCCGCAATTGGGGATTGTCTCAACATAATGTTGACCCCATATTATATAATCAACCCCAGTAGGGGGTGTTTCGCTCCAACAGTGATAATTCCCCGAAACCCAGGGACACCTCAGAATTATTGCAAAGGTATCCCCCAACATGGTCACGTGTTGATAAAAGGCCGCGCTACGGCGGCCATTTTTGCACCTCGGCAAGAGTCTGATCCGCTGCGTGTTACAGTAAAAAACTGCGCATGCACCGTTTTGAAAGGTGAAAAGACCAGGGTTTCGTGCCTCCGACCCTACAACTGCAATGTTTTTTTTTTTTTTTTAACGGTGTTCTGCGACCTTCGGGTTCAAGAAGTGCCTAAATTTTTCGAAAAGTAGTCTGTGAAAAGTTGAGAACTTTTCATGCGATGCGCGGTTTCCAACTCTTGAATAAGATCACAATCATCTTTCGACGTGCTTCTCCAAAAATATACTGAATATGTACTGCAGCACACGAGGGTTGACGCCTTGGCCACGCCCTGCTTTGCTATTCACAGAACTGGGCAACCACTTCTGAAGAGATTGCCAGTAGCGGTCTATGCTGTGAGTTCCTGTGACAACGCACTTGGGAACCTTCCTGCGCTTCACAGTGCGTGTCCACCCATTCTTGTCACGCTTCACATGGAAGGAGACAAGGCAAAGTTGTTGCCAGTAGATCGAAATCAAGAGGGCCCCAGCAGGACAAGGAGGAGGTAGATGAGCAAAGGCAGTCACAGGGTCCGTGCGAGTCAGAGTCAGCACGTCAATGCGGGAGTCCAAGTAAAAGGGGTCAGCAAGCCAAGCAACGCGAAGCAGCGAGCACGAGTGTGGGAGGGCACACAGCAAGCCTCAGAAAAAGAACAAGAGAAAGAGCAAAAGCAGTGCAAGAAAGGGTGTCCATGCCGCTGAGCAGTTACGGCGGCGGCCATGTAGCTCGTGAACGATGTCGCTACCAATCCCCCCCCCCACCCCAGCCCCAAGAAAGCGCCGAAATCTGCAAAACCACCACGGCCTAGTGTCAACACGCCTGCCCCAAGCTGGGTCGAACATTTTCTTGGCCTTCCCTTTCAAGCCAACCCCCCCCAAAAAATATAAGTAAAACAGTCGCCTGGGAACGAGACGCCGCTCTCAACATAGAGGTATCCCCAGAATGGGTCGTTTTCTTCGCCTTCCCCCAAAAAAATAAGAAGGGTACCCCTAATGGTGACAAGAAAAGGTGAGAGGGAAATCACCAGAAGAGGAATCCGTGTTCGAAGATTCTTGGGGATTACGACTTATGGCGAGGTGTGCTCGTGCGCGATCTTGAATGTTTCAACGGTGCCTTGTGTCTTTGGGGCCCCTCTCGCAGAGGCAATACCTATTGCGAGAACACCCCTCCATCATCTGCATCTCTTAGTGTTCTCCCACGTCTGCCCCTAGTAGCAGTACGCACTCCTTGACGCCTTGATTTGCTTTTTTGGCATTCCAGACATGTCGGAGGGACGGCCGCAGAGAAAAGCTTTGGGGCCTCAATCACATGCTGGCGGTAAACGCACCGTTCCTCACTGACCCAAAGGCTCTGGGCTTGAATTCCAGCTATTACGGGACTGTGGCTGACCTTGCCCTGCAAAGAGCCAGCTTTCTTTGGCCTAGTTGATTCGAGCATTTTTTGTGTTCCGCGCAAAACCCCTCCACATGATGGCTGCTTGCCAGGCTCGCCACTTGCAAATCAGATTGGATGATTGGACTTGGAATTCTGTTATGGGCCAAATAACCCAGCTCCAGGGGAATCCATTTTGGACCCTTTGAAACCCTGATTTCCCAGAACTACGCCATTCACCAACGGTCAACTGGCCCATAAACTAGGGGTTCATACCAGGGGTTCATGCCAGGGGACGTGCCGGAGAGCCCTTCGAAAATTAAACCACCCGGGAGCCCACTGACTCGTCACCCTCTAAGGGTGGAAGTACATACCCCTTGTTCATACCCCTTGGCTTCCGTGGTTTCCAACCCACTTTATAAGGAGTATATACCCCTTTTGGGGAGAGGGGAATGACCATCGCAGGCCTTTGTGTTCATTTGTCCCAAGGGGTATGTACAAGCACCCTTGGACACCCGCAGGACCAGCGCCGGATGCTCTCCAAAGAATCCGCCGAGGTGATGCAGAAGTTGCAGGAGAAGCCCGAGACCCTCGCCGGGAAAAGAAGGGGCCAACAAAACCAGACGAAGCAGACACAACAGAGAGAGAGAGAGAGACATGGGCACATGTACAAACACAGATATTCACTTACAAACAGGAAGGTATATATATATATATAATATACATCCGTATCATATACTCATTTGTATACTATTGCACATTTTTGCACACATATGTTTGAATACTGTTGTTGAAGAAGCAAACACACACACACACACATGAGCAGACGAATGTTTGAAACGAACACATGAGTCAAGAGCTATTTGTATACGCATGTGTATTCTACCTCTAGCCTTCTCGTATCATCTCCCAATCGTGAAGGCCATGACCCTATGCCATGAGCAAACATCTCTTGTGCTGCTTTGGCAGCGGGCTACATGTATAAGCATATATATATATATACAACTTATGCGGCCTTGCAAGGACACAAGGGCTAGCGGCGCGTTGTCACATTGCCAATAACACCCTGTGATTCAGCTGGGTATATGAAGACAACTTGGCATTGTTGGCAAAGACTTCCGCGCCGATGGAATGTAGCGCTTTTTTGGAGGGATCCAGCAACTCAAGTTCACCATTTCCCAGGAGTTGTAATCTGGTGGCAGGCCTTCCTGGATACGATAACGCTCAATTGGAATGGTATATCTCATAATGATACTTGTTTGGATACCAGTGCCCCATACAAGGTCCCGGAGTGCATGAGCCTGATGTTTCACTGCGACTCCCATTTTGGCTCAAGAAACATTTGCTACTGCATTATATTTCATCGATACTTTTCACAAGAGACTTTCCAGTTCTTGTCGCATGTTTGCTTTGGGTCTTTTCTTTGCTTCCGAACTCTTTGCATGCTTGACCGGCATTGGACAGCCGAAGGTAAAGGATCTAAAAAAGTCAATTGGGAAATCCAAGACAGCTCTTGAATCTAGGATCCAGCACGTGAGGAGTCAGTTGATTCTCAAATCCAACAACCTCAGGTGGCAGCCTGTGACACGTGCGGGTTCGCGCACGGGGCACAGCTGGCGGGCAAGCGGTGGAGTTCCCGGATACGTTTCAACCTGCCTTGCCACGTGTTTTTATGTTTGGGACATTTCTGTGGGTTTCTGAGAGCATGTGCATAAGATTGAGTCAAGGTGTGAACTCGCAGCACTTTCCAACTTGAGGGTTTTACTGTAGTCTGGTCAGGCTAGGGGGGAAGGGACATATACACAGTGTATACACACACATGTAGACGAATGTAAATATGTAAATATACACATGAGCACATTCACAAGCATATGTATGTAATATATATATATATATATACACATGTACATATGTGTATATTTAAATACTCATATGTTTGTGCGCATTTGAGAGGGATCAGTCTCCGTTGTCATTGCAGCGATGAGGATGCTCCGGCAGCTGGTGGTAGACCCGCCTCAGCGTCAGAACCAGGGCTTGTTGGCCGAGGAGATCCGGAAATTTTCACTCGGAGCTCAGAACGATGTTCTTGGCACCGGAATGGCAAAGCACCCAATATTTGAACATGTCATATGTTTAGGTTAAACAAAGGCGTAAGTTTACAAGTAGGCCTATTGCATGCACAAGGAAGTGAATTGTCTTGTGTCTTATATGTAAATTAGCCATGCAACATAAAATTGTTGGCACATGTTGTATGATTGCTATGTTACCATTTTTGCATTTGCGTGGTTGTCAAGACTAGAGGCCCTTTTTGGTATCCCCTTTAAAAGGCGGCGCGGCACCATTCCAAAAAGGAATTGGCCATAGTTTTGACAACTCCCCAAATTTGTACCATTGTTATATGTCCTGCTGGTTTATGGGCATAAACCAGCGGTTGTTTGTTTTGCCAACCCTGAAAATGACACCTCCCTATCTTCCTCCCCAAAAAACAGGTGGCTGCCAAAAAGCAGAACCGTTGATTCCTCCTCAGGTAACCCCAGTGAGCGGTTCGGATTTTGGGGATTTGAGCCCCTGGCTTAGCGTAAATGGGACACCGCGTTTTCCACCATGGTGTGTCTGTCAAAAATTCACCGGAGAAAGCCGCAGGTTTTGGAAATGTTGCCACAGGGCTTGCGCCATTTTGGGGCCCGATTTTTGTTTTTGACCAACTCGAAGCCATTTCAAAGCACCAACTCGAAGCTGACTGGATGGACATGCCTTTGGCTTGACACGCGGAGATTGGGCTTCGGGCATTTGTTTCTTTCTGGAGCCGCTCACCTCAAAGGGTCTCCCACCTCCGTCCAGCTTGATGAATGGCCAGTAGTTTCTTGCATGCATCATATTAAGGGCTCTGCCTGTGCTGTCCTTACTTTTCGCGAAACACAAACTGCAAAAAACCCACGGGAAGCACGTCCTGACAGCTGTGCATGTGTTTATCTGAATCTCAAGGTGTTATATGTGTCTTCCAAACACTAGAGAGACGAACGAGTATGTACACATATATGTACACATACATGACACCAGCACAAACATGATATGTATCCACATCACATATATATATATATATACATATATATATACACATGCAAACACATACTCGTTTTTTCATGTTGCAGGTACATCCATGTATATAAACATAAGATCTTCACCTGCAACACACAAGCTGCAAGCTGCTTCCGCCCTTTCGAAAAAAATCGTAGCTGCCGCGGAAAAGTTTGGTAGGAGCTCCCCCAGTTCATGGAGCAGTCGGCGGTGCCGGTGCTGATCTTCTTCTTCGGGTCCTTCTGCGTGGCGGTGCTGTCCCGCCAGTTCCTGCGGGTGGTGTCTGCCTGGCGCAGCGAGAGCGAGGACCAGAAGGCCGGAAAGCTGAGGGCGGAAAGCGGCGGGGTTTCCGGCGGAAAGTCGGAAGTGAAGGAAGTGGGTATGGGTCAAAGTTAGTCACCACCAGGAATTGGACCGCAGGTTTTAGAAACCATGTTTCCATTTACCAGGGCAAGCCATTTTGGGGTTACCCTGTTTTTGACCCACAGCCAAGTGGCCATGAAGTTGAATGGGGCACCACCTAGCCAACTTTACGGAAGTTTTGGGTGGATCTTTGGACTTCTTTTTTTTGGGGGGAAGCAGGTCGGATTTTCCGAAGTGGACCCACCAAGAGTTTCGGGGGTCAACAGCCACCAAGACAAGTAGGCAGGTTTTTGGCCGAAGGAAGGAGTGTGCGACAGGTTTTGGCTAAGATCTTTTTGAGGGGGAGCCATCGAACTCAAGCGGCGGAACCCCCTAAACGACGTCCAAGGGTGCCCTATCAAAATTCACACCCAGTGGGAAGAAGCATGGGGGGGGGGGTCCAAGTGAAAAACACATAGAGGGCCCAAATGGGCCACAAGGATCCTTCTATGCCAATCCGCCAGCTTCCCCCCCAAACCAGGACAGGAATGAGTGAAATAAGCTTAAAATTCAAGTGTCGCAGCCAGCTGGGAACATGACAGGAATGCACAAAAACAAACAAAAAAGACGAACAACAAGGGCGGCATCAGCACCCTGCCAGGCGCTGCGCATGCGGAAGATCCAGCAGGGGGGCCCAGGGTGGGTTTGGCGCCTTCTCTTTTTTTTTGGAAAGTGTGAAGATTTCGAGGTTCTACCGTATTATTATGTCCTTTCTTGATTGGTGGGAGGTCTTCTCTTCATACTCAGTCTGTCTTCTGGACATTCCAAGATACAAATCTAATATGGTCATCTTGGTGACCCCCTGTGTTAACAAGCACTGGGGTTCAATTTCTAACCAATTCAAAGCTAGTAAGGGCAACCTGACTGATTCTTGGGGGTTGAACAAGCAGGCGTCAAATCTGAAGGATGTTGAGCGGAACTCGCCATCAAGTCGGGCATCTCGTGTTTGAGCGAGCCGTGGCACGCAATGTGATTCTACTACCCACGGCTTGCGTGTGGTTTGTGTCAGCGCATGTTCAAACGCGGGATGAAACCGAGCATGTCAACCAGCGCGAGCAAGCCCTTCAAACAAGTGCCAATTTGCTTGAAGCCAAGGATGAGAGGCGATTGAAGCATCGTTGCCTTGGGAAACCGCAGAATCTGTCAGTCGATTTGCGGCTCGCATCGAGTTGCCGGCACCACTCCAAGGTCAGGCTGGACTCGACATGTGGCAACACCCAGCAAGAAGTCATTGGCAGATACTGTACTGCCCTCGATCTTGGCGAATCCGCGCTAAGAGTCACTCACAGCCCTGGACCGACAAACACAACACGATACATACTCCAACTCAGAAAGCTAACAATGAGACCAATGCCTTACGCAAACACCACACATCGATCTGAATTTCCGGGGTGCCCTTGATCAACGGACCAAACTTGCACCCAGAAAGTTGACCCGCCTGATTTTTCCGATAGAGCCCAGTAACTAGTGGCCGCGAGAAGGTCTTGGCATTGTGAGGATCAGGTGGCTTCGACTTGGCTTGAAGTTTGGTTTGCTCGCGGAGGGCACGGGTCTTTTTGAAGGGCTCGCTTGGCCACCTGAAGAAGCTTGCTGGTTCGATCGATAGGCGGCGGGGAATGAGAAATGGCATGACCTTTCAAGAAGACCATCCCCTGTAGTTTCCTTCAAGAGAATCCCCAAATCCGGTTCATGCCCAACACCCCGGCTCGGAAATTCCTTCCCTACCTCTCTTGCAGCGGGCAGGGCCGGCAAATCGGGGATCCTCTTTGTCCGGCCACTCGATCCGCGCGAATCGATCGGCCTTGGGCCCGTGGGCCCCTTGGGCCGGGCCGGTGACTTGGATCGAAGGAAGCAGCGCTTCACGATCTTCAAGGAGCAGCTGCAGAAGTCCGTGGAAGACTTGGGCCAGGGGCGACTCCAAGAGGCGGGAAAGCAGCGGTTGAGTTGAGGGGAAGTTGCTGAGATGGGGATGGCAGATCGGTTGAAGCTTTGCGGCTTTGAAGTTGCTCGTGGACATTCTCATGGTTCTTGGGACACATTTTTTTTTTTTTTTTTTTTTAAACATTTTTGCTCATTGTGGTTTAGTGGTTGAAATCCCCACTTAACTGCTAACATTTGTAAATGTTTGCTCCCCTTCCAACGTCAACCAAGGTTCTTGTGCAGAAGTGTTGCCCTTTTGACTGAGCTACGAAGCTGCCCAAGTCAAGCGGAGGTTTCAGCCGCCGGATCCGATTTGCCTTGGCCTTGCTACAAAAGAAGCGCTCTGAGAATTCGTTCCAGGGCGGGAGTGGAGCACCTAGTCCCGCAAAACCGATCTTTGTAGGTTCTACTACCTGGTTCACACAAAAAGCTAGGGTAAGGTCCCCCCAGTAGTGCCCTTTTCCCGTTTCTTTTTTGGTGGAGGCCTTATTCCAACCTCTCCACTGGAGGAACTAGGATAAAATCTGGCTGACCATGCTGGCAGAACCCCCCAAAATGGTGGTGTTCCTTTTGGAATCCTTTTAAAACCACACAAAGCAAGGGTACCCTTCCTATCGAGCTGTCCAGGGCAAAGGGTCGCCAACTGTTGTCTACCCAGCATCAAAGACCATTCGTAGAGCCACCTTTTGGAGAGATAACTCCGCTCCTTTTTTGAAGCCAGTGACAGGCACTGGCTGTCACAGCTGTCACTGGGGTTTTCTTTCGGCTGCGAATCAATGGAGGACGGCGCTCGCTTTTTGTGGGTGCCCTTGACAAACTCCATGTTGCACAGCCCATGAGTGGCTCACAGCATTTCACTCTGCCACTCGGCTTTCAATTTTTGGGCGTCAACGCCTCTTTCCGGCAAGAGGAACCTGATTCCTCCCGCCTTCCCCCCCCCCCCCGCCCCCGGCAGGAAACCATCCCCCCCCCAACGGTGCGATAGGTCGGGATGAGAAACAGAACGACTAAAAGAAATATCTCCGTCCAACTGGTGGTTTCCTTGGGGACAGCCTGGGTTCATTCCCACCACCCCCCCCCACCGATTTCGCACCAAGACTAGGTCCAGTAGTGCCCTTTCTCAGGGTTCCCCTACTAGACGTCCTGGAAAAAGTCGGCGCCCTTATTCCAGCCTCTCTACCTGTCGCACCGAAGAAGACACCCCTCTCTCCTGGAGGACCTAGGCAGGGAATGAGTTGCAATGATCTAAAAAAAAAAACATCCAACTGGTGATTGTTTCCTTCATTCGGGAATCCCGTTCCGGGTCATTCCGACTCATTCCCTTCCTATCGCGCCAGCAAGAAGAAGAGAGTTGGAGCCCTTGTAGAACCCCCCGCCTGAGTTTTGAAGAGATCGGACATTTCAACCTTTTTCTTTTTTTCTTCTTCTTTTTGCGAGAATGAAGGATACAACCCTTGGACATCCTAGAGGTCAGACATTTCTGTCTTTTGGCGCCCTTATTCCAACCTCTCTACCTGTCGCACCGAAGAAGTCGTACGTGTTTGAGCACGCACACAACTGGCTTCAGTTGACGGCGAAGCCGTCTCGTCCAGGCGGCCAAGGGCTTCGATGGTTTGGCCAGCTTCGCCCAGCGCTGGGCGTCCGAGCCGACCTGGGAGGTGGCCGCGGTTTGGGCGCGAGGGCGGTTTGGGGGGGGGGAGGGTAGGAGAAGCAGCTTGAAACGGCCCAAAATGGCTGGAAAAAACATCCATTTGCTTAACGTTGTTTACTTTCCCTTGCTGGTTTTAAAAGGAATCTATCACTGCTGGACATCATTATTATTTTCTTCCGGGGGGGCTTCAGCAAATGGAAGATAAGAGGATTCTGAGTTGAGTTGATTTTGGGGGAGGGCTCGAAAGTTGGAAGTTGCCCAAAAGCCTGCCCACCTTTCCCAGGTGGGGGGGGATAGCCCTTGAAAAGGCGGTGGCTTCATCCGAGCTCCGGGATGAAAAGCAAGGACGTCCATGTTGACTTACCATTCGCACGCGGTTTGTGGTAGTTGGCGTGCAATAGAAAAGGCATACCAAAAGGGAACTCTGGGGAGTAGGCAAGCACCTACTTGAAGCATGTTTGTTGACACTGATTCTATCATGGCAGCCCTGGGCGAGAAGGGTTGGGCGGGGCGGGGTTTGTGGATGATTGGGTGAGTGGGTGTGGGTGGAGAACACAGGCCCAGTGCTGCTTTTGATTCGTCGACTTTTCTGCTGGTCACTCCAAGGGAAGGACTGATGATAGCAAAGCAGTTGTTTGGAAACGGTTGACTCCTATTAGGTTTTCACTCCGTCGATTTGCCCGCTGCTTCACTTCCCGCCTTTGTGCAGCCAGGCTAATCTTGGGTAACTGCTTCGACGTTTTTGGCAAGACCACGGCTTTCCCGCGTGTGTGTGTGTGTGTGTGTGTGTGTGTGTGTGTGTGTGTGTGTCTCTCTAGACGTGGGTTGCTTGAACTTTTGGTGGGCGGCATTTGGCAAGTTTCCTCTTGGTTGGGGCTCACGGTTTCGGATGAAGCCTGGCAAAAGAACCTAAGGGACAAGGAAGGAAGGAATTAGAAGGAAGCAATGAGGGAGGGAGGGAGGGAGGGAGGGAGGGAGGGAGGGAGGGAGGGAGGGAGGGAGGGAGGGAGGGAGGGAGGGAGGGAGGTAGGGAGGAGGGAAGGAAGGAAGGTAACCTTGCTCTAAATGTCTAAAGCCAGAGTAGGGGGCAGACAGCATGCCAATGCCAAGGATTCTTGTGCCCCTTGCACTTTTATTGGCTTGACGCGTAATTCAAGCAGGCTTTGAGCCAATCAAACCTCTGTGGCAAGCCGAACGAAGTGGTGCCACGCTGGCGACACTTTCCGAGTTTACTGCTTGGGGCATGTAATTTGTGGGAGTTGTACGGTGCCAGGTTTGCGGGCTTCGCATGTTTCAGGGTTTTAAGCCGACATTGGAACATAGGATTCTGCCAAGCTCAAGAAGTGGCAACTGCACAGTTCTCGGAGAACGAGCTTTCAGCACGCAGCACGGGATTTTTGATGGTTCTGACAGTTTGGAACCATAGGGGTCCTTTTAGGTTAGTTTGGGCAATGATATAGATTGGTTGTATGCCACCCATTTACCAGGGAAACCCATCTATTGCACCAAAAGGATACTTTTATTTTTCCCCATTTACCAGGGAACACCCCTCTATTTTTCCTTAAAAGGACACCCATCTTTGAAACGCGACGTATGTCCAGGAGACCATCCGGGCCGAGTTGGCGGCTTTCTGGGAACGCTGGGGCCCTCAGGCGCCTCGTCTGCAACTCTGTGAAGCGTTGGACTGGGTTTGAGGGTTGGATCGCTCAAACGAGGGGAACTTACGACCATTTGGCTGTGGCTGAAAAAGTTAGAGCAAAATGGAGGTGTCCAATCACCAGCCAGTTGATGTCTCCGTGATTCTGTGCCGGAGTCTCGCCCCAACTTCAGCATGCCAAATCAGAGAAACATGAGAGCAAAACTACAGGATTCCTCGCCGTTGTTCGAAGCCCGTGTCCAAACGGAGTCCAAACCCAAACTTTCAAGCTCTTCTAGGACTCTTTTTTTCTTTTAACGGTGGTTTTAGTTGGTGGTGGCTGGAAGAAACAACAAAAAGGTTAAACCCTTTCCAATCCCTTGGGCTTGAACCAGGTTAGAGGACAGCCACCCTCCTCGAGGCCTTTTTTGTGGTCATAGAGTGGTGGCTGGAAGAAAAAAGCGAAAAGGTTGAACCCTGTCCAATCCCTTGGAGTTGAAGGTCAGAGTACAGCAACCACACGGGGCCGCTCCACCCTGAGGCCTACCGCCTCGAAGCGAACATCGCGGATGTGCAGGGTGTGCCTCGCCGCAGCCGGAGCGAGGGGGTTGTCGCAATGAGAGCACCGCGACGGCTTTTTTTGAACTTTTGTAGGACCGCCGCCTCAAAACTTGTGAACACCGCAATGAAAACCGCTTTTTATAGGACACCTCCCCAAAAGCGGTGAACGTTTGATCCTTTGATCCTTTGATCGAATGCTGATGTCCACCATTTCGCTATTTCGGGGTCCGGGGCCGTTTAGATTGACGCCTTTCTGGAATCAATCACAACCAGACACGGATGCGGACATCCCCTTTAGATCGAATTCAGGTTTTGGATGTGACTCACGGTAGGCGCTGCTGGCTTCAGTTTTTGTTCTCATCATGAGCGGCATCAACACCCAATATACTTAACAAAAACACATACAATTCAAAGGAGCTTCCTCTACAGAAGTGTGTTTGCTGGGTGATATCTGAATTTGTAGGGGAGTAGTGCCTGTTTGTCAGAACAAAGTTAACGCCCGATGCAGCGGTTTGAGTTTGCCTCGCCCCATAAACCGTCCTAGGATTCCCTTTATTCAGGAATCCCTAGCTTCGTTTGCCTATAAGTAGGTTCTGAACCATCCACCCGAGTTGGTTTTGTTTCTTCGGGACCCCCAACACGGGTCGTTCCCAAAACCCCTAGCCCTGGCAGCAAGGAACGTGGCCACCAGGAGTGCACCCAAACGTGAAGCGAAGGTTCGAGGTCCGGCCACCTGAGGTGCCGGGTACAGCGGAGGAGCAGGCAAAGTGGGTGGTGGACAGGCAGGGCCAAAGGGACTAACCGACCGGGGCGGCCTTGTTGTTTTTTTCGTCACACCTTTGTTGCCTGCGCCCAAAGCTTGGCTTTCTTGAGAGTGAGGCCGCTATGGCAAGTCTTGATCCTGGCTCCCTTTATTCACCTTGACCTTGTGTAGCCAGTACTTGATCAAAAACAAGGTTTGATTGTTTTCACACCTGTGCCTCACGCCCTCCCCCGCTCCCGCCCCAGCCCTTTCTCCGAGCGTCATAATATTCCCCCCCCCTCCCTATGAGGTTTTGAAGATCACAGTTTGGGTTTGAGTTTGTGCGGTGAGCTCCCTTTTGGGGTGTGCCCGCTTTTTCAGGGTGCCATCGTTTTAAGTTGGTTTAAAGGGAAATCAAAAGAAAAACCAAAAGGAAAGCCGAAAGGAAAACCAAAAGGGACACCAAATGGAAAACCAAAAGGAAAACCAGAAGGACAACCAAAAGGAAATCCACCAATTTTAGGGTTCCCCTATTTTGCGACAAGTGGACACAGAGGAGCCCTGCAGGTGGTTCTCCTCTGCCAAGTCCGTGGTCAAAGATTTCGCCCGGGCGCTCAGCACAGGAATTGGACCACAGGTTTTGGTGGTTTCCATTTGCCAGGGCAAACCATTTGGGGGTTACCCTATTTTGATCCACAGCCATCTGAATATATATATATATATATATATATGTTTTTTCAGTGTACCCTTTGTGGGATTGACTTGAAGGGAACTCAAATCAACCCACCAATCACGTTTTGTGGCTCTTCTTTTTGACAACCACATCCCAGGCACTGGAACAGAGTAGCGGAACGTTGCTCGGACAGTACAAGACCTAGCTGGGCCATCCCAAGTAGGGGCGCCACCGGAACCGCTCAAGCTTCTCTGTGGCCACCTCCAACGCGTCCAGTTTTGACGACCACATCCATTTCGGAGGGCGGGCATGTGAAGTTTGGGGTTCTTATCTTTGTGTGACCCGCACCCTATCTTTGGTGACTCGACCTTTGAGTAAAGCCAACCATGGCAAGCCACAGCCCCAACCATCCGTGGCTAACGGAACCCAGCTTGGGGGGTGGGGTTGGCCAGGCCATGGATGCGGTCAAGGCCTGGGGTGAGGACGGGAGGGAGCTCAGCCTGGTTCAGACTGACCAGTGCGCTCAGCCATGGACGGAGAGTACTTGGTGGTTTCAAGCCATCCCCGCAGCTTTTAGTTGATAGGGTTTAGTGGGGGTGTCCATTTAACCCACTAAAAGTTACGCCCTTTAGCAGGGGATCTGAGGTCAGCCCAGGGTACAAGGACAACTTAGCATGTGACACACTCTGAGAAAGACTTGAGAAGTACCAAACCTGCAGGGAGGGACACCCCGCCAAACTTACTGACGTTTTGACCCAGGAACCCTAATGAGGGAGCGCCCTTAGAACAACCCAACCAAGGTGGCATTCTTGTTTACCAGCAAAAAACGCTTGAAAACACACCCACCTACCCTCCCATCCACTGTGGAACCTGACTGGAGACCATTTTGCTCTACAAGGGACCCTCTGGGTTCCATGCAAGCGGATTGGTTTGGTCGAAATTCCCGGGCTGAGACGCCCTTTCTTCGACCCTCATCATGGTTGTTGTTGGGAAGCATGTTACATTTTTGCTTCTTGTGGTTTAGTGGTTGAAATTCCCACTGAACTGCTACTCTATATATATATATATTGAAATCCAAATCCACTGAACTGCTCACAGTTTTTTAGATTTTTGCTCCCCAAGCCCAACCTCGGCCAAGCCTCCCTGGCTCTCCAGGAGGCCAGCAAGGCCGCCGCCGCGGCGCGCTCCGCGTCGGCGGGCTCCCTGGGCTCCGGCGAAGCGAAGGGGAGCGGCCGCGCGGAAGAGGCGGCGGGGGGGGGGTGAGGAATTTTTGTGGCAAGGGGCGGTATAGGAAAGGGGTTGGCTTAGGGTTGGTTGAGGAATTTAGGCTTGGGGTTGAGGAATTTTTGGGTTGGCTTAGGGTTGGTTGAGGAATTTAGGCTTGGGGTTGAGGAATTTTTGGGTTGGCTTAGGGTTGGTTGAGGAATTTAGGCTTGGGGTTGAGGAATTTTTGGGTTGGCTTAGGTTGGTTGAGGAATTTAGGTTTGAAGGAGGAATTCCTGGTTGGCTTAGGTTGCTGAGGAATTTAGGCTTGGGGTTGAGGAATTTTTTTGGGTTGGCTTAGGGGTTGGTTGAGGAATTTAGGTTTGGGGTTGAGGAATTTTTAAGCTGGCTTAGGTTGGTTGAGGAATTTAGGCTTGGGGTTGAGGAATTTTTGGGTTGGCTTAGGTTAGTTGAGGAATTTAGGCTTGGG